TCACTCCAGTTAGAACGGCAAAAATCAAGAACTCTAACAAGAACAGATGCTGGAGGGGATGTGGACAAAAAGGAACCTTACTTCATCGTTGGTGGGAATGTAAACTTGTTCAACCATTTTGGAAAGCAGTATGGAGGTTCCTCAAAAGACTTCACATAGAGCTCCCCTATGACCCAGCAATCCCACTTTTGGGCATTTACCCAAATCTGTAGGCTTTCTACTGGTCTTGTTATCTATGTCCTTGGTCATACAGAAGCTCTGCAGCTTCATGCAATCCCATTTGTCCAACATTTCTTTGATTTTTTTGTGTTTCTGGGTCTCTATTGAGAAAATTTAGGGACACAAGTTGGTTTTTCTTTCTTGCTATTTTCCTAATGTATTTATAATGTACCATTTAATTTTTTGTTGTTTTTTTTGTATGCTCCTCCCCCACAGTATAACCTCTGTTTTCACTGTATTTGATGTTGGTGCCTGACATCTTGTATATACACTTCTCCAACTTGGGGAAGGGAAAGAGAAAAACAAAGTGCTTAAATAGGGATACAGATTCACCCATTGTAGAATTAGAGGTACAAGACACTATTTTGAAAAACAAACTTTACAGTTTAGGCGGAAAGGGGGGGAGGTCAGGAGAGGGGAAGTGTAGCTGTGGAGGGGGGAGGGAAGGGATGGTAGGGGGAAAACAAGGGAGGAGTTAACAATGCATGATAAGAAATGTTACTCATTACCTAGCTCATACAACTGTAACCCCTCTGTACAGTATTTTTACAATAAAAAACTTATTAAAAAAAACCTTTGGTTAAACAAAACCGTGTTTAAAATCTGTGTAATTTACAACCAAAATAAGGTTAGTGTAGATGTTAATAATGATTTACCATCAGTTTTATCATGATTTAACTTTGCATAAACTTATTCTCAACTTTTCTTTCTCTTGGTTTCAGATGCAATAACAGAACCCAGTGTGCCGTGGTGGCAGGCCCTGATGTTTTCCCAGACCCTTGCCCAGGAACGTATAAGTACCTTGAAGTGCAGTACGAATGCGTCCCTTACAGTATGTATACTCCTCTACTTTTTGCCATTAAGAGGAAAGGTATATAACAAAGCTATTCATGCACTGAGTAAATATATTCTGTGAATACATATAATAACAAAACAATGAAAAGACAGAGATGGATTTTATTTTGGAAAGCTTTGATGATTCTTACCTCCTTCCTCACTGTTGGAAGAATTACATGTTGCCTATAGGTCCTGATAGCACTTAAGTTTTCTGGGATAATTTTATACAACAGTATGTAATTTCACACCATTCATTTAAGAATATAGATGTTTTGAAAAAGGCTGAGGAGATAGTAGGACAGTTTTGCATAGATAGTGAAAATAAATAATCTGTTAACAAACAGAAATTGACAAATTGTAAAGTATATCTAAGTTTCTTGTGTTCTCTACCTTTTGAGAATCAGAAATATGTTCATCCGGAGGAAACAGACTGGTAAGAAAACACAAAGATTACATGAGCTAAATAAATTTTTAAAGCTGTAGATGTTTGCCTTTGCAACTTTTGTATCAGATATGGTACAGGTATATTTAGCACAAGCATAATGAAGAATCAAACAACTTACTATGGAACATTTTCTGACTTTCCTACCTAAAGAAAGGCTCACCATCTGAAAAAGACTTGTGAATTATCATGGGATTTCTTAGTGTAAAATCACTCAGGAAATCCTGTAGACTTGCATTAGATGTGCAGCTCATTATCTCAGAGACAAAAAACACCTGGGATCATAAACAAATCCCAGGTTCCAACTTCCTTTGATGTTTCAGAAGGAGCAGAGTATCTTGGGATCAGCAGGTCTACTGTACCACAGACTATTCTGAATCTTCCCTCAGTTAAGCATATATTAAGAGGCAGCACATTACTCATAGCTGATGTGTGCATACTTCAAAAAAATAGTAATTTAGGCAAAAAGAAATGAGTTGATTTCACAGTAAAGAAAGACATTTATATTAAGAAATCAAGAGGAAATATTGTTTGCCTTAAAATGTGATTGATAAGCAAAAGTTTATGTAGTGACATTTCACATGCTGATGCTTGTTATAAAAATGCATACATTTGTAGGGTTTTCTTGTTTTTAAATCTCCATTAATTTTTTTATTACGTTGTTATCTCTACAGGCCCATCTCAATTATATCTACAGAGAGCAGAGATATTGCTATCTGTTCTATGCAAAATATAAAGATCTTAATGACAATTTATCATTCACTAGTACTATGTCAAAAAATGAAAGGCATAGGCCATGTTGAAATGAGATAATTCTATTTGATTTGCATAACAATATCTTGGTGAAATATATTGTACCTTGTTCAAGAATGACAGTATAATAGGATGTACTGCACTTGTAAAGACACTTTTAGAAACTTTACAGTCGCATTTTCATTCTCATATTTTGAAACATGATAGTAGAAGTAAAATGGCAAGTTACAGATTTTACCATAATTTTTGAGCACTAAAAAATTTCACAGCTTTCTCTTCAATTTTCTGTATTTCATCAGAGTTTCTTTGAAGATCACTACTCCAAAATCTTCTGCAAAATTCATTCTAAAATATCATCAGCTTAATTTACTACCTCTTACACTTTTCCATTAAAAATATCGTTTTACCACAGACTTCACTTCTCATAAAATTTCAGAGACAGCAAGTGGATTTCTTACAATCTTATATTTGTAGGTTTCTCGTAACCCTGAAACCTTACTGACAACCTTAGAAATATCTTTCTTATTGTATTAAAATATTCAATTTGATTGTTTTACTAAATAAGAATTATAAACTCAGTTGTACTCACTACTACTCTATACATGACCTTCATTAACATATGGCATGCTAATATTTATTTATATTTTCTTAATATATTTCAGTTAAAACTGTAAAGCAAAATTTTGCCTAGAAATTTAACATATTTTAAAAGAAAATAATGCTACAAAAAAGTAAAAGCCAAACCAAAAAAAAATCCTACTATGACTCACTGGAAATATGGATTGGTTTAGTAGAAAGACAATGAATTATTAGGTAGTATGAGGGTAGAATATAGTCTAATTTCTTAGCAGAAAACCTGAATTCTTCAGCCAAACTTAACTATTAAAGCTTTCTAGGTCTCACCCTGTATACTTTCTCTGGTATAGTTATAAACCTGATTTGGATCAACGTTAGCTAATTTTCCTTTTCTAAATGTACAATGCATGAGTTTTCCAATACTGAAAATCCTTATGCCTGTAATCCTAGCTATTCAGGAGTCAAAAATGAGGATTCTGGTTCAAAGCCAGCCATGACAGACCAGTTCATGAGACTCTCATCTCCAATTAACCACTAAAGTGGGGGAAAAGGCAGAAGTGGAGCTGTGGGTCAATTGTAAGAGCACTAGATTTGAGTCAAAAAGCTCAGAGACAGCACCCAGGCCCTGAGAAAAGGATTCACACACCTGCTTCAAATCCCTATCAGTTTTTTGAAATTACATGCCATTTGCTGCTTGATGCATGTATTGAAGTAAAATGTGATTGGTAGTATATCTATAAGCTCCATGAAGAATATAAGCTAGGTAGAGATAGCAGAACAGGGTTGTACTCTGTGTATAATTCCTGCTCTTTAAAGTACATTGTTTCTCATCATAGATTCAGTTTTCTGCCTCATATTCTCATGAGTTGCTTCCATCTTTTTCTTCAGCATATAATATGGTCCAATCAGTTGTCCAATATATTGTTCAATCCTTTATAATTTTCATCACTATGTCAACACCACGTTGTAAAAGTGTCTGCCTCAAAGACTAAGATCTTTTTCCTTGGTCCCTTAGCTACATTTATTATTTATTTATTTATTCATTTATTTATGGCAATACTGATGTTTGAACTCAGGGCTTCTCTCTTACGAGGCAGACACTCTAGCACTTCAGTTATATGCTATTATGATCTTTTGCTTCATTTATCTTTTCAGGCATAGCTTTGTGTCTTTGGCTAAGCTGGCCTCAGCCCTTAACCCTCCCTATATGTTGCATGTGAGATCACACTGCATACCACCACACCTGGGCTTGTTGATTAAAGAGGCCATCTTATTAATTTGCCTGGGCTAGCCTTGAATCACAGTCCTTCCACATAGCAGGGATTAATGAGCATTAGCCACCATACCCAGCTTCAGTTATTTTTGATGAAGTTTATGCTCCTTTTCTTAGAGCTGCTGAATCCATGCAAACTTTTGTTTTTCCAGACACTTCAAAAAGTTTTAGAGCCTAACATTGTCTATGTCATACAACATACTACATATAACTTAGAATGAGTATCTTAGCTAAGTAGTAAGTTAATATGCTGTTTTCATTATCCATGTTAGATAAAATTCTGTACTCAATCATAAACTTCATGGTTCTTGATAATGTATGTTGACAACCTACATTGCATTAGAATAAGGCATACTTCAGATTTGAGATTTAACATTTATTTTGGTGGGAAAAATATGTAAACAAAAAATTATTGATCAGATAAATAATAAAGAATTGCATTAGAGATAATACACAGAAAAATTCAACAAAGGTTTTTGCCTTCCATAAGAGAAGCAAAATTTCCAAGGAGAGTTTGAAAGTAGTGGGAATTGCCCTATTGCCCTTCCCCCTCCCCCCTCCCCCTCTCCCTCCTACCCCCCCACGGCCTCAATTTCTTGCACATGCTACTACTGAAAAATATACTTCTAGCCTAAAGTATAATAATTTTGCACAGGATTTTAGGCATCATTAAATAGATACTTAACTGAATGACAACTTGAGAAATAAGTTACCTTGACAATATGATACAACTTTCTAGACAAGGAAATATTTTATAGAAAAAGAAAATAAGAAAAGTTAGATTGTAAATGATTTAGTAAAACTGTCTTCTTTGTACTGTCTTATATTCTTTTTACTTTTCTTTTTCAGAATCAGTAAAGCTATATTTAACCTCTTCTAAGTTTTCTTTCTCTTATCTATATTTTCTTGTCTGTGTTCATAGATATCGTGTTTCTAATGAAATTTGGGACAAGGGAATCAATACATCTCTCCGTTCCTGTCACATCTTAGTTCCATTGTGGCGTTTATAGACTCTGGGTTCTCTTTTGAGGTTTGATTTTCCTCCTTGGTGAATATTTTCTTCCTAGGAGATGACCCAAATATTCAAAAGGTTAAACCTTGCCATTTACCAACACCACATCTTTGTTCTGTCTTTTTCCCCCCATTCCCAGCCCTACTGACCTGATTTGAGATCAAAATTGTAGTTTCTACAAGTAGAGCCACCTTCCTTCAGCCAGGTTGAAGGGATTTGTGTTAGGCAGAAAACAGTGGAACAACTACCCACCTACTTAGAGTATTTTGAGCAAAGAATCTTTGCTTTTTATCCCGCTGACAAATGGTGTTTCTTCCAAGGCATACAATTTCACGCACATTACACTCCAAAAGTGTCTGTCTTTCCTCACAATCTCCCTTTCTCTTCCCATTCTTTGTCTCTTCTTTTCAGAAATGCAAAGCACATATTACTTACCAATCTTCTTTCATGGCAGATTTTCTTAAGGAATTGAGGGTAGAAGTACAAAATTGGAGAGCTCCTAAAAATGTGTGTTTGATTAAATGAATCTTATAGCATTTAAGACTTTCTCACTATTCACATTTGTCCACTTAATAGTGCTAATAGTGATCATTTTAGTGAAAATACAGGAAAATTAATATTTACAAATGATTACACACTTTTTAAGTTTCTTTTCTGCTTCACAATAATAAAATCCATTACTCTTTTAGCTATTAAAACCAGGTCTTTAAACATTTAATTACATATAAATATTCATATATATATTTCCCTTTTTTTGCTAGTGATCCTCAAACCTATGTAGAAATATTTTTAGTTTGAAGATAGTACAGGAACCCAGTGCCTGTAATCCTTGATACTCCGGAGGCTGAGATCTGAGGATCATGGTTTGAAACCAGCCAGAGCAGAAAAGTCTGTATGACTCTATCTCCAATGAACTACTCAGAAAAAGCTAGAAGCTAA